TACCTCCATTGTCGCTGGAGGTAGGTAGTGGGGCTTCTCGGGGGTGGGAGGAAAATGGGGGGGGCGAACGCCTCGCGATCGAGTGTTGGTGACTATGGCTCTAGAGGTCTCTTGTTATCTGTTGCTGTGGTCTAGGTGCCACTGCATGGGACAGTGAACCACATTAGGTGTGTAGGTTACATATGTGTTTAGCTTTCTTTCAGAAAGCCTCTTGTGGGTCTCAGACAGTCTTGTTAATGACCAAACTTCTTATACATATTAGCCATTTAAGTTTTTGTCTCTTCTGTGTGATACCAGTGGGGCAACAGAGCCTTTGTTACTGTCTTTGCAGAACTGTTTATGCATTGTGATTGCTTCCAGAACTTTTTTTTCCCCATTGAAATTCAGTACACTGGGAGGTAGGAAAATTCCTCGTTAGTTTGACGTGTGTGTATTTTTGGCCCCTCTGTCTTTTTAAAAATATCCACTAGTTAATACCTGACACTCACTTCTGGCATTAATGCTGTCGACATTACTACCTGTATTAAAAGTCTGAACGTAGGAATAATTTTAAACCTGAAGAATATGCTGGTTCTATCTCTGTTAGAAATAGGGATGTTAAAAATTATTAACTGTGTAACCAATAGAAATTCTATCAATTACTGGGCTTCTGAGGCTCCTGACCCTGCAGAGGCCACCTAGGCTCCTTAGGGTGCTGAGACCAGGGCTCCTGGCCCCACAGGACTGCCGCTGTTTCTGCCAGCCCTAAGAAAAGTGTAACCCGTGCCAGTAACTGATAAACTCATGTTTATCAGTTAACTGATTACCTGGCGCACTCTTACATCCCTAGTTAGAAACTGGGCCATTGCTGTCTTATTTTACTTAGCTTACTAGAGTTCATGCAGTGTTTCTCTGAATAGACTGAATTGATATGGAAAGCTGGAATAATAGTTTGAGAATATTATTTTATGAGATTAGTTTTAGATTGAATTTAAAATTTTGAGGTCTGTACAGTTGTGTTTACTGCCTAAGGGGTGGCGTCTGAGGTTTGGATATTAAATACAGCCTTCAAAGAGCTTTTTAAAATCAAGTCTATTCCCTTCTTTTGCTTCTTTATGATCTGTAAAGAAGGTTTGAAAGCTTTTATGTTTGTGACAAAATTGGTTAAGATTCTATATCTTGGCTCCAGACAGTTTAAACTACTTTTGGCAAGTAAGGCAAAAAGCCCAGAAATTCACAAGAATAACAAAGTCCTGGAATGATTAAAAGGGACTTCAGAAATGTCATATCTGGTCTCTTGGAATTTGCTGATGAATTTGTTGGAAATCTGAGGGAATGTATTATGAGATGTTGTACCTCAGCTGAATTGGTGGAAATCTTTTAATAAATGCTTTTTATTCAACTATGTTAATTAGTCATTAATGCTGAAAAAAGCATTAAACAAATTGACTCTCAAAATCCTTTCCTTCCTGGATTGTTTAGCTTTTGCACTTTTACGATGTCATCACTGTTAGTTTTCAATTACATCCTTTTCCAGGCTAGTCAAGACCTGAATAAAAAGACCAGCAGAGTGAGCCTATATAAAACAACTACTTTCTGGGTTCTTTTAATAACAAAGCAAGAATAGGCACTAGGGATGTAAGCACCTAGTCAATTATCCAATAAGCATATGCTATCAGAGAGGCAGCAGTTGGGGGAGTGGGAGCTGGCTTAAAAGCTGTTTCTCCCAGCACCATCTACATGGGGTGCAGTGGGGAACTGGCAGCGCTTCTGCTGCCCTGCTCCATTTCAAAAGCAGAAGTACCACAGGGAACGTGGGGCGAGCAGGAGACTCAAGCAGTCTCCTACTGGCTCCATGCTCCCTGCAGCGCTTCCACCTTCAAAATGTAGCAAGAGCCCTAGCTGTTGCTACATTTCAAAGGCAGAGATGCCCTTATTGACTAATGAATAATAAAGTCGATGCAAAATCCATCAACTATTCGATTAGTTGATTAATCTAAATTTAACATCCCATATAGGCACAAACCCATTCCACACACACCCCACCTCCAAGCCTCTGCCCCATGTCTCATGGAGAGTATATCTCAGCTACTGTTCCTTTCTCTGCAGAGTCACTCCAGGAAGGAGGGAGAGGTGGATTGCCCCAAAGAGTTCTATTCTGGCCAAGGCTTCAATTTTATTATAAGTGTAAAGACTAGAATGACTCTAATGTAAAACAGGATTAACACATTCATCTCATGAGTTTGGTTCAGATTCCCTTTGCCTCATGGTACATCTTGAAAATACAGACAAACCAAGCCTGTTGCAGAAGTTCCTACCTCTTGATTTTATTCTCTTAGCTTGGCTGAGACCATGTAGCTCAACAAATAAGGTACTGGGTTCTGGTTCCAACTCTTTCACTGAGTTGGGGAGACATTGGGTAAGTCCTTCTGCCTCTTTGTGTGTCAGTTTCCACACCTGTAACAGGAGAGTAGTAATCCTCCTTTGTAAAGTGCTTTGAGAAATATGGGTAAAATATCAGTGTAGAGTGAAGAAACATTTATCTGCTGTTCATTTTTTTTAAATGATCAAGCAATAATCTTGTAAACTACTAGTACAGCTAGTTGCACTGCCGAACTGAGTTCAGTGTTGAAAATGCCCACATATTCACTCTGATACCATTGTTGGACCTAACCAAGTGAGTTACAAGATCAAGAACACATATTCCTGCGCATCCAGAAATATAATTTATGCTATCATGTGCCGAAAGTGTCCGTGCACATTGGACAAACGTCTCAGACACTTCGCCAAAGGATCAATGCCCACAAAACAGATATTAGACAGGATCACAAATTAAAAACAGTTTCTTGCCATTTCAGCCAGAAAGGACATTGTCTCAATGACTTGATTACCTGCATTCTGCTTCAAAGACCTTTTAAGACTTCACTTGAAAGAGAATCCTCTGAACTGTCATTCATGCTTAAATTCGACACTTTACACTCAAATTTGAATAAAGACGCTAATTATCTTACCCATTACAAAGATAGCTTTCCCAATTATCACCTCTAATATCATTAGCTCACAGACATTTACCTCCCCCCCCTACCCTACCCTCCATCCCCCTTCTGTTCTGAAATTTGATTTGTCCTTTTCATATATGTTCATTTTTTTTTAATTGTATCCTTTGGTATATATGGTTGTGACAATTTTCTTCCACTATTTGATCTGAGGAAGTGGGTCTGGCCCACGAAAGCTCATCACCTATTAAACCATCTTATTAGTCTTTAAAGTGCTACACAGTCCTGTTTTTTGTTTCAGCTG